TTACACTGGTAAGATCTAGGTACTGGTTACACTGGTGTGATCTAGGTACTGGTTACACTGGTAAGATTAGGTACTGGTTACACTGGTGAATGATCTAGGTACTGGTTACACTGGTAAGATCTAGGTACTGGTTACACTGGTAAGATCTAGGTACTGGTTACACTGGTAAGATCTAGGTACTGGTTACACTGGTGAGATCTAGGTACTGGTTACACTGGTGTGATCTAGGTACTGGTTACACTGGTGTGATCTAGGTACTGGTTACACTGGTGAAATCTAGGTAGTGGTTATACTGGTGAAATTTAGGTACTGGTTATACTGGTAAGATCTAGGTAGTGGTTACACTGGTAAGAACTAGGTACTGGTTACACTGGTGTGGTCTAGGTACTGGTTACACTGGTGTGATCTAGGTACTGGTTACACTGGTGAAATCTAGGTAGTGGTTATACTGGTGAAATCTAGGTACTGGTTACACTGGTAAGATCTAGGTACTGGTTACACTGGTAAGAACTAGGTACTGGTTACACTGGTGTGATCTAGGTACTGGTTACACTGGTGAGATCTAGGTAGTGGTTATACTGGTAAGATCTAGGTACTGGTTACAATGGTGAGATCTAGGTACTGGTTACACTGGTGTGATCTAGGTACTGGTTACACTGGTGTGATCTAGGTACTGGTTACCCTGGTGAGATCTAGGTACTGGTTACACTGGTGTGATCTAGGTACTGGTTACACTGGTGTGATCTAGGTACTGGTTACACTGGTGTGATCTAGGTACTGGTTACACTGGTAAGAACTAGGTACTGGTTACACTGGTGAGATCTAGGTACTGGTTACACTGGTAAGATCTAGGTACTGGTTACACTGGTGAGATCTAGGTAGTGGTTATACTGGTGAAATCTAGATACTGGTTACAATGGTGAGATCTAGATACTAGTTACACTGGTGAGATCTAGATACTGGTTATACTGGTGAGATCTAGATCTGGTTACACTGGTGAGATCTAGATACTGGTTACATTGGTAGGATCTAGGTAGTGGTTATACTGGTGAAATCTAGGTACTGG